GCCTCATCCCTCAGGTGTCTGCCTCGTTCCTCTCTCAGTCGCTCTCTCACTCCTCCACCAGCCCAGGAAGAAACTGCTTCAAAGAAGCCGGCAGGGTGGCTTTTCCTGTCAGCGCAGCTCCTCCGAAGCGCCCGTTCACCCCCACCCCGCCGCCCGCGCGCGGTTCAATCCAGTGCTCCGTTCTGCCTGCCTGCCTTCGTTTCTGGTTGTTTCGGAGAAGCTTCGGCTGATAAAAAGAGGCGAATAGTTATTATTCTCAGCCGAAGCTGCTCCCAAACAACCAGAAACGAAGGCAGGCAGGCAGGCAGGCAGAACGGAGCACTGAATTGAACCGTGCGCGGGCGGCGGGGTAGGGGTGAACGGGCACTTCGGAGGAGCTGCGCTGACAGGAAAAGCCACCCTGCTGGCTTCTTTGAAGCAGTTTCTTCCTGGGCTGGTGGAGGAGCGAGAGAGCGACTGAGAGAGGAACGAGGCGGGAGGAAACCGAAGCCGCTGAGCCAGAGAGCAGGACAGGCTTTGGTTGCTTCCTCCCTCCCCTTCTCTCATTTGTGTCCTTGATCCCCGATCCCAGCAGCATTCACCGAAGGCGAAGAAAGCCGCCATTTTTTTTATTTTTTTTCCTTTGCGGCCCGGTACAGAGTGCTCCACGGACCGGGACCGGTCCGCGGCCCGGTGGTTGGGGACCCCTGGCTTAGATGATGAAAAAGCAGTACACAGTACTGAAAACATCTGTGCTTGTGAGCCAGTTTCATACTATCTAAGTTTTAGACCTATATAAAGATGAAACAATACTTCTAAGCTGATGCAGTGGAATTCTTAGAATCTCAGTTTGGAACAGAACTACCTGCCTGCTTTCATCATCCATCTACTTAATCAAATTTGCAACAATCTAACCCAGGAAAAAAATGCCTTGATCAAAAAAAATCTTCAGCTCCTTCCTATTCTAAATTAAATGGTGCTTCCCTGTTGTATAATAAAGCTTTCAATGAGGGAAGTTGAGACTATTTATGCAATCTCTGCAAGAAGTGGGGTAATGTGTTAAACACCACAATACTCTTGATTTCAAGACAATATAGCGACAGGACTCTATTCAAAGACTGTGGAGTGATTCCTAAATATATGGACATTCTCCCTCCAGCAGATCCAAAGGAATGGAAGATGAATTCTTTGCAGCTTAAGGAGTTGCAACAGTGAAGTTAATCCTTATGCCTTATGCACAAGATTGAAGGAACAAATGCTGTGACAAAATGCAGTATCGATTCTGCCATTATATTCATGTATGTTGTATTGATAATTTTCTAATTTCTGAAAAAAATATATGCCTTTCTAATAAAAACATTCACCTGCATAATGACTTGTGCAGCAACTCCTTGAGTAATTCTATTATTACCTTTTGGTGATCAGTGCTCATTCAGGGATAAGGGAACCAATACTGCAATTTCTTTTCAGTAAAAAGCTTGACTTTTGTCCCAGTTTGATACTGTTAATATATCATCTATCTCCTGATAGATAGACCATGTAAATTTGTTCAGCACAGCAGACAAAAACAATGAATTACAAAACCTGCAGTGAACCATCATGTTTCTGCAAAGATTAAGGGTTTCTCATAATTGGTAAATCATTATCAGAATAATTGGGGGTAGTTTATATATCTGGAAGAGAGGAAATCTAGATTCTCCTTCATAATGCCTCTGCCCAGTAGCAAGGAAACTTAATAGTTTCAACTCTTTCGGTTAAATTCAGGTTCTTGGTCTTTCCTTTCCCTACTCAATTTTCTGGTAAAGATAGACAAAGCACTGAAATGGAGCCACCTACACGGAACTATGGTTTTATTATTTAGGAAAAGGGGTGAACTCTTGTTATATTTACATTAAGAACGCTCCCTATACACTTGAGATATCTAAACCAAAGGAAAAGCCTGTAACCCATCAAGAATTTGTTCCTTCAGTTTGTTCCTTCAAAAAAATTAAATCGTCAGAACTCTTCCTGTGCTTTTCCCTATCACCAAACGACTTCTGAAGGAAAAGTAAGGTTTGCTTCCTTGGCAATATTCCACCAATTTCAACAGCTGCTTGTCAAGCAGAAATTCAAAGACTACAATTTCCAATTCAGTAGATGAGGCTGTGACACGAAAGCATTTATTTCTTGAATTTCTGCATGCATCACAGCTACTCAAGACTATGGAAACAACTGTACATGGCTTTAGCTGAGTTCTGCTGAAGTTCTAGCTAGTGAAGAGGAAAAGAATGGATAGGATCAATGGGAGAACCTTGAACCTACAATGGCATATGTTAGATCTGGACAATGGCGGTGGCAATTTATTGCCTAGGAAATGAAAGGTGGGCTCAGTTGTAAATATATGCATATACATCTTTAAAAAATAATAAATTAAAAAGCAGACATGTCAAATACATCCTTTCCACAGTTAAAACAGCTACTTAGCTCTTTATAGACAGCAGAAGGACACTAAAAATTAATTGGCTGCAGTGATGAAGCAGAAGCTGAACTCTTCACATCAAGCTTCCCATACAAGACAGTTTCTCAGTCTTTAATACAGTTAAGGTTTAACACTTCCTTGGTCGTGAATGGAGTGGCACACCTTTTCCCTCCAATTCTGTCCCACCTGGCACAGGAATAGGTGGAAAACTCTTTTCCCTGGAAGTCACTGCTGCTGTAGAGAGCTTCATTTGAATCCTTTACTACCACTGCTTTCAAGTTTGTTTCAATTAATGGATTTGCCATATAAGAAAGATTTTGCATAGGAAGTTATTGTAGGCTAGTTTGTGCATTTGACTTACAGTCTAAAAACTCAGCATTTAGAGGTACTTGGGACTGGGATGATGGAGCAGGTAACCAGTGCTTTTGTCTGGTGGAATAATACTTTGAATGGTTTCAGAGAAGCCGAAATGTAGGTAAGTGAAGATGTTTCCAATAAGGAAAAATTCCCAAGGCTTCATTTGTTTGATAGCTGCCTTAATGGAGCCCTGACATAAAATATAATGCAATGTTGCTTGGAGAAGAATATAATTTCCATGTCTTTATGAAGGAAATGGGGCTTTATGGAAGACACCGTATTGATCTTTCCTTCCAACCTTCGTTTAGCATACCAAAACAAAATAAAAATATTCAGAAATAAACTAGTCTCTACCTTAACAAGTGGTAATTTGAAAGGGAGCCTTTTTGGTTTGCTTCTCCTTGTCCAGGAGTAAGACGTAGTCCCCCAAATACAGCTAATAATTCCAGCTTTTATAATCTGGGTCGGGGTACCTAGAACTGTAGCTTCGTTACATCTGAAAGGCCTCTTGTCCTAGTGACTTTTTCTTCTGATCTGCTTAACTCTTAATACTTTTGCATTTCAAGTTGGCCTTCCCCAGTCAATGCCTTTCAGATGTATTGGACTACATTCAGCAAACCTTAATTTGCATGACTAATGGATCATGCTGGTTCTGGACAATGGGACTTGTAGCTGAGACACGTCTGAAACAGGTCTGAGGAAAGCTATTATAGATACGGGGATAGCCAAAAGTGTGTCCCACTGCCTGCATTTGGAAGCATCACTCACCATTTTGCATTCACCTATGAGTCATGACGGAAAATGCTTCCAGGGCGTGGGTTTTAAATACTCCTTCTTGCTGCAATAACTGCAACAAGCCATATATAAGAAAGCCAAAGTGGCTCCTGCCTAGCTGAATTTTGTTTCCATGTGTATCTCCAGTTTGCTTCAGTATGAGCAGCAGGGATTGACCAAAATGGTGTGGAACACAACAGCAATACAGGCTCCAGGTGGAGCTTGGGCAGATGGCTCTTCTTTTGTACAGACTTTTGTTTTGGACAGTGTGGGGGGGTTGTGTCTTCTTTCACTTAACTAGCTAAAGTCCAATGGTTCAGAAGGAACACTCAAGGGAAATAACACAGTAGTAGATCAGATGCTGAAGAGGCTAGTCTTCATCCCCTATGACCTACTGGAATGGGACAATTCACCACAGCCAACTTGCCATGGCCATTTCACGAAGGGACAATGCACTGCAGGACAACTCAACAATTCAATTTAATTATTTAAAATAATTTAAAAAATAATTTAATTTTTGTCATTCACATTTCATTTTGCCCCTCCTTTGGCATCCTTTCTTTAATTATTCTAGTCCACCATTTCTTTGATATCCGTGTAACTCTTGTCCCGCAGCGAATTATCCCATGGCGAGTTGGCCATGGCGGGTTGGCCGTGATGAGTTGACGCAGATCTACTTAACATTGTAGATGCCACTGCCGCCCCATGTTGACCTTATACAGATTTCAGAGAATCACATTCTATGTGTCAAAACATTCCAAGACAGGTTTTGGAATTGGCAAGTACAGAGGCCACAAAAGGCTAAACAGTAATGGACGATATTACTGGAGGTGTTGAAAAGAAAAGCCTCGTTTTCAGAACTCCTTTCTTTGACAAGCCAGGCCGTGACAACAGTCAAGTCCCAATTAACCCCTTATTGTGCAAACCTTGGCTAAGTCAATAAAGCGCATCAGATTCTGCACCCAGCTAACAAGATTTAACGTTGCTGTAAAGCATGACCCCCAGGGGCTTTTCGGCTATTTAGATTAGAACATCCTTCAGCAATGGTCAAATGAAAAACAAAACTAAAAACACGTCAAAGTAACTGTGCCTTCACCCTCCCCAAGCTGCCCCCCTTGTCCCACTCTCCCTTAGCGGAAAAGTCTCTTTCCCGGTGAACGTCGTTATAAAAAAAGCACTTTCCAAAAGGACCAACATGAAAATCCCCCATTATGAGCAGGCATCAGGCTTGGCTGAGTGTAGAAAAAAATGAAGGCTTCTGAGGCAGAAAGGCAGCAACCTGTTGGCATGAGAGCCAGGCGCTTTTGGGAGACATCAAGGCAGCGTTCCTGCTCCAGCCACAGTAGCAACAGGGGGACACGTGCTGACTGGCTGGGAGGAGCGGGAGGCAGGACTTTTTTCTTTTTGTCATTTTCTACGAAAATAATTGCAGCATGGACTGATGGCTCAGCAGGCCACACCCGTGGTGCTCAACACCTGATGGGCTGCCTCTGGGAGCATTCTGACAAGGGGCCAAGTTCCTGGAATGGTGAGCTGAGCTTGGAGAAGTGGCTGTCAAACAAAGCAGTTTCGAAAGTAACTTGTGATCCAAGGAGGAACGTTTCCATTGATGCCAGTGAATACGCTGGTCCTGTGTCCCCGATCCCACTTCAATCTGAAGCACCAAGGCTGGAGTAAGCAATTTGCCAGAGAAGAACGAAGATCCACAGCTGACGCTCTGTACTGTACAGTCCATGAATGTAAGCAGCATGATGGTGACGGACACCCTGGGGAAATGGCTAGTAGGTCTGGAACAAGCCTCCTCTTTCAACATTTTTTTTTTTTTTTAAATTTCCTTAGGCCGGAAAAGTGCAGGTGGAACTAGGCAGAACAACAATATACTTATACAGCATCCTGGAAAAGCTATTTGGATGATGAAATTCTTTCCTATTCTATAATTGCTTAGTATGGCAAAACCAAGATGTCAGATTCCCATTTTCTGTGTGTGCCAGAGAGCCTGAGATTCAAGTGCACCCTGGATTAAATATGCTCCAATTGCACCTTGGAAGGTGTGTTTAGATGGACGCTGCTGGATAAGAAAAAAAAGAATGACCATGGCTGGTGGACACATGTATACTGCAGAGGGAGGCTCTGGGATGTGCCCTCCAGATTCAACGCAAAGCCAGCTGTGGCTCTTAAGGAATGTCAAGCATATAGTAGGTCTCACTTGCGTCCTCTGCACAGCCAGGTCTGCTACGCCCTCCAGCTTCCATTTAAAAGGTGCTATTTCCCTCCATCCTAGGAGAAGCCCAGCATGGTGTCCTCCAAAACTGGGCTGGCCCTGGTTTTGTTACTCAAGTCAAAACGTACAGTTCTTGGTGGCTCCTAGTCGCAACCATCCTTCAAGCACACTGGCCCCTAGCTCCACCCCATTGTTTAAATATGCAATGAAAACATCTGCACAGTAATACATCTCCACACGGTGGCTGCTGAGGCTCCCCCAGACCAATTTTGATAAAGAAAAAAATATATATATTCCAGACACGCAGCACTTCCAGACTGGGCAACAAAGCATGAAAATCCCTGAAGACGTGGAGGTGGTTACGTTTATGTTCTTTCAGTCCATTTTAGAATCATCCAAAGTGCATCTGTTCGACAAGGTCCGCCTCCTGGAACCTGCTGTTTCCCCCCCCCCCCCGAGGGTGGGAGGGGGCAGGTCACTTTTCATTTGGCACTACATACAGTGGGTCCAGCTCCCTGGGCCAGGCTGGGCTGACGGAGACAACATTCCTCGCTGTGGTTTAAGAGCAATCCTGGCTCCCAGACTGGCCAAACGTGTGAGAGACAGAGACAGAGAGAGTCTGGTGCATGCGACATCAGATTGAGGTTTCATCGCTCCTGCTCAGTGATCAAACACAAAGCGAGACAGGACAGGGGGAACACAAACACATGAGTGTGGTCATGAGCAGGTCTGAGCAAAGCACCCCCCCTGGGGCTCGTGTGTTAATGGAGGAAATTAAAAAACAGAAATCTGGGCGATTGAAGCGAGAGGTGAGAGAACAAGAAACAGAGAAGGGAGGAGAGGAGGAGGAGAAGGGGGTTAGTGCAAGAGAGCTCAGGAAGAAGTTAGAACAGGACAGCATCCCCCAATTCCCCCCCCCGTTCACATTGCTGAAGATGACAGGTGGGCTGAGTCCCACAGCATCTCACAGGAGCAGCTCAGTACTCTTGGGGACTTTAATTCTGACATGCTCCTCTGCCCCTTGGGCAAGCTACAGTACGGGGTAACCCTGGGCTTAAAAAACTCCCTTTCCCACCTGAGAAGGAGATGGCTGCACCCTGCCTTTCGAATTCTGAGCTACATCCAGATGGGGCTAAGGGGTTATCGTCTGGGCCCAAAGCCAGACAAATATATTCTCCAAGAATGGGAACCCTCCACCCAAGGTCAGTGAAATATTAAGGGATTTTTGTAACACAAACGTCAGGAAGAATCTACAGAATTGTAAGTCGGTAGGCATTGTTCTTAAAGGCACAGCCTGGGAATAAAAGTTGGGGCAACTACAAAAATATAACAAAATATCAGCCTGAAAGATCGGAAGCACCAGATCTGGCGTGGACAAGAGGCTTCACAGAGGCAGCAGGTTGTCACACGCAAACCACCAAGGACAGGCTAGCAAGGAGAAGGCTCAGCCATACTCACTCGGAGCCTGAAGAGTCCTCGTCCACTGTGCCAGTCTTTATGCTCATGGTGATAGGTGTAAGGCCATTGAGCTGCTCCTGTAGGGTCTGTCGGGGTCGGGGTATCCCACCCCCACGGCTGCCATCGCTCCCCGAAGAACCATGCAATGATACCATCCCTGAGCGGCAGCTGGACAGCTTGTTATGGATGCGCTGGATGCTGCTCTTCTCACTGATGGGTGGCAGGTATTTTTTCTTTAAAATGCCTGAGGGCAGAAGATTCAGAGTAAAGAGAAAAAACAAAACACCACCACTCCTTGCTACAGTCAGGAAACCAAGGCCAAAGGATATGACTACTTGTCTTTATGGATAGCGGTGTGTTGTTCTACTTCAGAGGTGTCAAACTCGATTTCACTGAGGGCCACATCAGAGTTGTGTTTGACCTCAGGGGGCCAGGATGGGTGTGGTCAGAGGGGACATGACCTGCTCGATATCACTCATGTTGAAGGTGCCTGTGGCAGTCCGAGCACTCTGCCAGCGAAAATGAGCTCCCGCGCTTTGTTTCTGGCTGCAACGGCCTACTGCAATCCTCTGCCAGAGGATGTTTTCACTGGCAGAGGGTTGCAGGAGACCTTTGCAGCTGGAAACGGAGCTCAGGAGACCATTTTCACTGGCAGAGGCACCGCAGGCCAGTCCTTCACAGATCCAGCCTGTGGGCCTCGAGTTTGACACCCCTGTTCTGCTTGTTAAAAAAAAAAAGCAGAGCTATGTCCCATTTTCATCTTCAAACCTTAAAGGCACCCAGGATCCAATCCTCTTGGTAAATTAAAACGGTCTTCAAATTAATGACTAAAGACTATCTGGTTTTATGTATTTTCTTCATCATATTATCACATCCCATGGTCTTAGGCCCATCTGGTAGCAAGATCTTAAAATAAATCAGATTTTTTTTGGGTCTCATTTCTAAGTTGGTAACTTGGAGAATGTTCATTCCAGTGCAGTCTTTCACTTTACAAGAATCACCATTGCCAGCTTATTCTATATAACGTATATAAACTCTTATAAATTAGTTTTGTGGAGCTTTCTCACTAAAGTCTGCAATGACACATTATTTCTGCCCAAAGGGAGTTAGTTTTATTAACAGAAAAAATTAATCATAACCAATATTGTATCCCTTAATATGTAACAACAGGCACTGCAGTTTATGCTCTATAAATGAATTACTGTGATGCTTAAATTTAATATATTTATATTAAAACATATTGGTAATTGAGCTCTTTTCTTTCATTATTAACTGCTTATGCCTGTCTGTACAGGATTCCAAGAGGCATTTAAATGATGGAAGATCAGCCTGTTCCCCGTCTTTTCTATAGGCCCAATCTTATTCCTAGTTCATCCAGGATGAATACCAAAGAATGACACACAGTTAGATTTGTTGATTACAAGGTTATTAAAAGGTCATGTCTCATAAAGCTAAATTCTGTACTACTGTATCACACCAGAAAAAAATGATTATTTGTGAAACATTTTTACTTTTTTTTTTGTTTGCTTCCAGTCATACAGAGAAGCAAACTGTTTCTATTCATTCCCACAATTCACATACACCTAATCCATATTTATCTGGTCTGAGAGATTTAAGGCACTGGATTCACTCATGAATAATAAGAGCAATTGCAAAATGCAACTTGGTATTTAGTGCAATTCAAGAGAAAATTGCTAGGGTAAAACAGACCAGTCGGTGTTACAGTTCCCAGAATCTAACTTTTTACCTTTCTGGGGCTGAGCAGTGGGATGAGGCAGTGAGCCCAAGATGCCCTCTCCATTCTCTCTGGCCAACTCCTCTGTCAGTCCCAGCCGGTCATTCTTACCCATTGGTTCTACACGCAGCAACTCTGAGCCAGGGTGGCCATCGCTCTCACTGGCAGTGGTTACAAAGTCACCCGGCCAATAAGGTTTTCCAGGTCCAGAGATGTTATCTACTGAGAAAGCAGAAGAAGATCGTGGGTTTCAATGTTTCTCCCTATATCTCCCAAAGGTGTTTTTTTTCCAAGAGGCAACTGGACTTTCTGGTTTTTCTTTGAAGATGTTTCAGTTCTCATCAAAGAAGTTTCTTCAGTTCTGACTGGATGGTGGGGAATGGAAGGATTTATGTTCTTGGAAAAAGCACCTTTGGGACAAGCATGGATGACTGAGGATCTCCATAGACATGTCCCTGTATCTGCTCTCCCCTATTTTTAAACAGCCACACTGAAGAGCTTAACGAAAGCCATTGCCCAGGGAGATGTAACCAACATAAAAATGCATGACCAGACCCAGAGAAAAACTATACTGAAGGAGTTTTGTCACTATTCTGAAAGGCAATCTTAGTGAGCAAGCTCTGCAGGGGTTTTTTTTTCTCTCCCTTTGTCACATCATCATTACATATTTATATCAGCTCTCTTTAGCAGTTCCTGAAAACATGCCAGGAAAAGAGCCATCAATGCCACTCTTGAGGATTATGGTAAATCACAATTTTCATTGATAGGGAAGAACAAACAATAAAGTAGTTTACATGAAGAAATAAACTTGCCCCGTACATCAGCGGTCGCCAACTGGTGAGCCGCGGCCCACTGATGGGCCGTGAGAAAATTTTGGTGGGCTGCAGAGAAATCTCACCCCCAGAGCACCCCACAAAGCAATTAATCCAGGCTGCACAGAAACACAAGGCTGCGCCGCCCACATGGCCCGCGGGAATCCTCCCCACCCACTCACTCCTTACCCAGCAAACTTGCCTGCTAAATTGCTATTTTTCCTTTTTCTGACCATCATCTGTTCCGACCATCTGTTCTGCTGTGCCGGGAGATTTAGATTAGCTAGGAAGCAGGTTGGATTTCTTGCTTTCTAGCTAGTCTTTAGATCTTCGGCTCAGCACAGCCAAACCTCCCTTAGGACTGAAGGTTTGCTTGCAAGCAAATTCAGTTCAGACTCACGGCAAGCAAATTTGAGAGACTGAGCTAGCCGATGGCAGATAGATAGATCAC